ACACAGGAGTGGAGGGTTGTTGGGATTGGCAGTCCCAACCCCCAGGTGGATTTGGTTCTTGAGCTATGTGGTGAAGTAACAGATTCCAGAACTACCTTTTGTGGGAATAAGCAACTTGGTCCTCGGCTCTTTCTCTTGAGCTCCCAGGCTAGCTCCAGAGCCTTTGGTGGCTGGAAAAAGGAAGGCTATACAATGATTTTTAGCACATGCAATATACCTGTGTGTGTGTGTATCTACACTATTAATCTATACTAATAAAAGGGCAATATGTAAATTGGTCACAGCACCCTCACAGTAACAACCGAACAGCAGGCTGCGTGGGGCAACTAGGCTGGCATGGGGGTTAGTGAGGGACAACCAAACGGCTGACCAGCAGGCTGCGTGGGGCGACCAGGCCAATAGGGGAGTTAGTTACCGCATTTGTTATGCTGTTATACTTATCTTATTCCTGAGGAATTTCAGACAGAGACTTTAAGCTCTAAGGAATTCGGCCTAGTTGGACCTGCATGGTCTGGTTTCAAAGCCAGCTCTTAATTGCTGTGCTGCCAATAATTACACTCTCCCCCCCCCCCCCCCTTTGTGGGAGAAACGGAAAACATTCAATACACAGTACTGGGGCCTGAGAGGTAGCAGCTTGGACAGACGCCGTTACTGGGAGTGCATATAAGTTCTCTACCAATCATCTCTGGTTTTTGAAAAGTGCACGCACGTGTGTTTTACTATGTACATGACTTTTTACAATCAGGAAAATAATAAAGCTGTTTTAATTTGGGGTGGGGAGTGAAGCTATTTTCTTAACCACAGCGAGGTAGGCTTTTGTGTGCTTTGCCCTGGAGGTCAGTAGTAACCTTGCAAGTGTGATAAGAGCAAGGTATGCTGATATGAAGAGAACTGAGAGTAAATGAAATTTGACCCGAAGAACAGTAGAAGAACAGTATACATACTATGGTTCTAAGTGGTCTTGTGTTTATGTGCAAACATGTGTCAAATGCATAATTTTTGAAGGGTACTTTCCGATCTGTTAGCACTTGTATTCTTTGGCAAATGAGGGACATTTTTTTAACTTTTCCTTTTTCAACTTTATTATATTGCTTTTGTCCTTGTGAAAGTATATTTATTATGTTTATGTACAGTGAAAATCACAGTATTCAGAATGAGAACTGCAGGGATATATAGCCCTTGATACAGATTCTGCCTTTTAATCATTTTCTTAAAATCCTCACCTGATATGTTTTTATTGAATTTTAGAGAGAGAGAAACATCGATTGGTTGCCTCCCTTACAGCCCACAATGGGGTGATCGAACCCATAACCTAGGTATGTGCCCTGGCTGGAAACTGAACCCATAACCTTTTGGTGTACAGGACGATGCTCCAATAACTGAGCCACATGGGCTTGAATAGATTCTTGAATAAATTACTTGAATAAATTACATGCTACTTGTGAACGCTTAAAGAAATAGACCAACTTTGTTTTCTTTGGGAGTTTTGAGAGCACCATACCCAAAACATGGCGGCAGTTAATGGGCCCATGTCCCCTTGGAGAATTTCTCATCGCTAGCAGTCCTCTTGGATCCCAGGCTACAGTATTTTAACAGTTTATCAATGAAGCAGGCGAAACTATAGAAAGCAAGCTTATCAGGCTTTCTGATGACTTAGCAGGAAAGGATAAGGACAAATTAGTGGCTTCAGAAAACTCTTATTAGTAGGTAGAAGCAGTGGGCTGAATCTAACGATGAAAATGTAGAGATATTTAAGATTTTGTATTTGATTCAAAATAACAACAGAATAAGCACAAGCCAGGATTTAACCAAAGTGATTGAATCATTTATAACAGGGATAAATACATCTATATTAATGATGTGATACAGTAATGCTCTCAGGGTCTATTAGAATACATTCTGTTTCTTACTTAAGCTGTAGAAGAATAATTGATCCTCCAAAATGAAGAAACACAATGAAACAGACTCAAACACAGAGCAAACTGGTGGTTGCCAGAGCGGAGGAAGCTTGGGTGCTGGTGAAAGAGGTGAAGGGCTTATGAAGAAGTACTAATTGGCAGTTACAGGTAGTCACGGGGTAAAGTAGAGCATAGGGAATAGCGTCACTAATACTGTACTAACTGGATGTGGTGCCAGGTGACGACTTGGTAAAGTATGTGATTGTCTGACTACCGTGTTTCCCTGAAAATAAGACATCCTCTGAAAATAAGACCTAGCGCACGGAAAGATAAGACATCCCCTGAAAATAAGACCTAGCGCAACTTTGGGAGAAAAAATTAATATAAGACACTGTCTTATTTTCGGGGAAACAGGGTACTATGCTGTACACCTGAAACTAATACAAAATAATGTTATGTGTAAACTGTAATTAAGAAGTAAAATGTAAAGTTCTAAGGATGGATGGAAGGAAAGAAGGAAGGAAGGAAGGAAGGAAGGAAGGAAGGAAGGAAGGAAGGAAGGAAGGAAGGAAGGAGAAAAGAAGAAAAATTGCTCCTTGAGGCTGAACGTTCAGTTCTTTTTCTTTGGCCTGTTATGCTCAGTTGTGCCTTTGGAATATTTTTGTTCTCCAAAATTATTCTCATTTCTAATTTTTAAGAAACATCTCTAGATTAAAATAAAAGTGTTGATCAGTGTTTTAAATAAACCTACATTTTTATATACATTTTTGCCTCAGATAAATGTTTAGTAACATTTAAATGTGTAAGAGTTTCCAGTTTTTGTTTTTATTTTTGACATCCTGTTCACCAAGTTATAAATTTGGTAAACAAGAGGCTTTGGTATTCTGTATTTGGGGATTAGTTGGAGTTAGTGGGATTTAAAAAAAATGGTTACTGGGATTTTTAAAGAATAATAAGAAAACATCTGGCTCTTGCCAGCACACCAGACCCTCCCCAGGAAGTGCTGCGCTGAGGGGTGTGTCCTGGCTCAGGCGCCTCGCCCGCCGGACCCATTGATCTCATGGGATTGAGATTGGTATGACATGTTTTTGAAAAATATTCCACATGACAAGCAGAATTCTTCTCCTTTTGCAGCTGTAGGAAAAAAATACCTCGGCACAGTGTTGTGCTTGAAATGACCTAAGGAAAATTAATGCTCCCAGAATTCTCTGCCTGCAGTTCTTTCCATGCCCCTCCCCAGCCTCTCTGTGAAGACGGAAGTAAGGAGTCAGGTGCCATTTCTTCACTGACACACTATACACTACCATTGGTTTCTGCCCAACATTTTATTATGAAAACTCTCATAAAAGTTGAAACAATTTTTCATTGAACACCATAAACCCACCATCCAGATTCTATAAATAGCATTTACTATACATGCTTTATCACATATTCACCCGTCAGTCCATCTTATTATTTTTGATGTATATGGAAATAAGTTTGTATTTAGGTTTTTCCCTTGTCTTTTATTCCTAGCTGAGAATTCTTTTTTTTTTTTTTTTTTTTTAATATATTTTTATTGATTTTTTACAGAGAGGAAGGGAGATAGAGAGCTAGAAAAGTCGATGAGAGAGAAACATCGACCAGCTGCCTCTTGCACACCCCCCACCGGGGATGTGCCCGCAGCCAACGTACATGCCCTTGACCGGAATCGAACCTGGGACTTTTCAGTCCGCAGACCGACGCTCTATCCACTGAGCCAAACCGGTTTCGGCCCTAGCTGAGAATTCTTAATCCTCATGGTGAGGATTTCCGGCATCAGTAAGCAAGTGTGAGAAAGCGCCCGGCGAGCAAGAGAGCTTGCACGGCCTCTCTTATGGCGGGTGTGCAGTAGATATTTGTGAAGTGAATGCAGTGCCATCCGTCCTTTTGACTAGCCCTGGAGGTAAACTTCAGTTTGCCTCTTAGACAATTACTTTAAAAATAAACCATATAATCTATAGATACAGGTGGGCCTCCATTTATAAGATGTACTTCTTTCTATGAGACAGTCCATGGAAGGTATTTATATAGCATTTGAAATGACTAAAAAAGGGGTTTTTATTTGTTTGGTTGTTGTTGTTGTTGTTAGTCCTTACCCAAGGATATGTTTCCATTGATTTTTAGAGAAGGTGGAGGAAGGGGGAGAGACACATCCATCAGTTGCCTCCCGCACACCCTGACCAGGACAGGGATCGAGCCTGTAGTCGGGGCATGTGCGCTTGACCAGAATCAAACCCAGGACTTAGTCCATGGGCTGGTGCTCTGTCTACTGAGAAAAACCAATTAGGCAAGATATATATATATATCCCAACATTTTTCCCACAGAGCTTCTCTCTCAGAATACATGTGCGGCAGAATTCCAAGGAGCTCGCATTTCTGGGTTGGTGCCCCAAGGATCCTCTTAAGGAAGAGGCTGGAGGAGTAACCTCGCAACCAGAATGCCTTCCTTTTAGTATGTTTTCTGAGAAATTAAGATTTTATTGCAGGAAAATGTTTGAAAATTATAGCTGTTCAGGTTACCTGGCCAGCTCCACAGCCCTATGAGCCAGTGGGTAATATTGTAGAACAAGAATGCAGTGTATATCCTGCACTCTGAGTTTACTTGGCTGGGAAAATGCATTATCAGGATTCATCCCAGTGGCTGTAGATAAAGAATAGTGAGAGCTGTAATGGCCAGGGGAAAATCTAAAGACGTCTGCCTCTTACAGGTGTCTACATATGTGTATGTCTCTATCTCTCCGGTCCCTGAGAGTGCGTTCCCATAGTGAACAAACTGTATTACTACTTCTCACCCCTGGAAAGGAGGGACATGCCTTTTCCCCTTGATGAAATGGGTTTGTTTTGAGGACTTTGGGAGGCCAATCTCTAAATGCATTGTGGGCAGTTACCAGAACTTCTCCTGTTTCCAAAACAGAACCAGGCTCTGAATCGTGTGGTAATATGTCTCCTTTCTCCCGAAACATGGCAGCCACTGTCATGTGGTGTCTGTTCATACCAGCATGTATACAAAGGGAACTTAAAGGTTGTTGGTTTTTTACTAAGTTTATATTTGTAACTTCTTTTCTTTTCTACTCCCAACAGGCTCGGGTTATGTATGATTTTGCTGCTGAACCTGGAAATAATGAACTGACGGTTAAGGAAGGAGAAATCATCACAATTACAAATCCAGTAAGAGAACTATTGCATTTAAATTGGATTGTCCCTTAAGGACTTAATTTTTAAGATTTTATTTATTTATTTGTTAATTCTCACCAGAGGGTGTTTTTTTCCATTGCTTTTTCAGAGTGAATGGGGATAAAGAGGAAGGAAGGGAGGGAAGGTGAGAGACAGACAGACATAAACAGAGAGAAATTGGTGTGAGAGAAACACATCCATTGGTTGCTGCCCTGACCAGGAGTGGGGAGGGAATTTGCAACCCAGGTATGTGCCCTTGATTAGAAATCAACCCTGAGACCCTTCAGTGTATGGGCTGAGGCTCTAACCGCTGAGCAACATCAGCCAGGGCAAGAATCCTATATAATAAAAGCCTAATATGCTAAGTGTCCAGTCAACTGGTCAGCTGTTCAACCAATCAAAGCATAATATGCTAATGATATGCTCAATGGCTTGCAATGACATGCACTCACCACCAGGGAGGAGACGCTCCAACTGGTAGGTTAGCCTGCTGCTGAGGTCTGGCGCTGGAGCCCTCCTGTGGTCCCTCCCCAGCTAGCCAACTTCCTGCATCTCTCCCCTGCCCCGATCATGCACTGGTGGGGCTAAGCTCAGCCTAGCCTGCACCCTCTCGCTATCTGGGACCCCTTGGGGGATGTTGGAGAGCTGGTTTCAGGGGATGGTTTTGAGGGATCCACTTAAGCCGACAGACAGACAATCCCCAGAGGGTCCTGAACTGTGAGAAGGCTCAGGCTGGGCTGAGGAGCTCCCCTCAAACCCCTACCACCCAGTGCATGGATTTCATGCACCAGGCCTCTAGTACTTTATAAACATTGAGAAAGTTAAGTCTCCTAAAGATAGCTGGGTAGGAGTTCATCAAATAGAAATCCTAGCCAGATCCCAGCCAGATCAAAGGTGCTAAAATTAGAAAGTATTCAGTATTTCTTAGAAGTCGCAGCAACTGTATTGACAACCTGTGAGTCGGGTGTTTGGCTAAGTTCTACCATACTTTATTGTATTTTCCTTTTGAACACTGTGAGGTCAGTATTTTTCATCTATTTTTGCAAATGAGGGTAACGAGACTTAGAGAAGTTAAGTAACTTATCCAAGGCCATTCTACTTGTGACAAAACAAGGATTCAAAGCCACGTCTGTTTGGCCTCTGAGCTTCTGCTTTTTTTCTCTACTGGAGAACATTACATGTACACCAGTGTCCCAGATATGTACAGACCAGTAGGAGACAGACTAAGAACACTGACTCTGAGAGCCAAATCAGACAGAGCTTGTATGCCATACAGAGATTCTGGGCTTCATTTGCTTAGTAGTGGATTCATTTAAGGGTTTTGCTAGTTCTTGGTGTTTGGTGGAGTTGGCAAGGGACATGATGAGACCAGCACTTGAGGAAATTAATCTAGTAGAGGCATATGGAATGGATTTGAGTCGAGGGACATGGCTTTGAGTCACAACAATAGAAGTTGAAAGAAAATGGATATCGGAGGCTTTGGAGAGTCAGACCCAGAGGACTTGGGGCCTGATTAGGGACTGTTGGTGAGAAGAGGGTCAGGGCCCCCTGAGGTGTTTGTTCTTTGTGCCTGAGACAGTGGTGGACTTATTAATGTGTGTAAGTCAGGAAAAAAGATTAAATGAGTTTACTTTTAGATATGTTGAGTTTAAAGAATAGAAAATAACTGACCATGGCCTGCATCAGTTTAAGAATGGAAATGCAGAGCTGGAGATGAGAGTTGGCTCCCTGGGCTGTGACAGGAGGCACCTGAGGAAGGTGCCAGGAAGGCCAAGGGGACTCTGGGGGAAGGAAGGAGACGCAGCTGTTCCACCTGGTGGGGGCGGGGGGTTGGGGATGGGGTGGGGGGCGGGACAGCTAACAGCAGCACAAAGAGCGGGGGAGGAGACGAGGATGCCCGAGAGGAGGGTGGTGGTTTCTTACTAGTGATAGTATTTTTACAACCTAGTATTTTAAAATCTGCCTTAGGCACAAAAATGAATTACTGGGTAGAAAAAGAATATGTAGTTTTATAAAATATGCTAGGTGTATATAAGTAAATAGGTTCTATTTTTTAATCATTGATGAAATTTTGGTTCTTTTATCTACCTATCTAATTTTTTTTAAATGAAGGCATATTCTTTATATCTTAGAAAAATAGTAATGTCTAAGGTGCTGTTGTCAAAAATGGACAGAGTTGTGGCTTAATTTTTTTAAAAGAATGAAAAATGTTTTATCTAGATTCAGATAATAAATAATAAGGGTACAATTTATGAACTTAAGACAACTCTTACTCTTTTAAGGGGGGGAAAGTGGGTTTTTGCTGAGATAATAGATTGAAACACAGGAATCCTGGTATAGAGTACTTTATTATTTATTTTATTAGTAGTATTTTATAAGAAGAGCTAAGGAACCCACGGATCAGTTAGCTTTTCCTAAATAATTACCTTTCCAGAGCTTAGCGACTAGAACAAATAAGCATTTGTTGTTGCTCAGGAGTCTACAAGTCAGCCGGATAGTTCTACCAGCTGGGGCTCACTCATGAGCCGGAGGTCACCTGGCTGGGCTGGGGCCCCTGGGTAACATGGCTTCACTCACTCACGTGACCGGCAGTTCCTGCTGGGGGTAGACGGGCTTTAGATGGGGCAGATTGGGCTTTGTCTTCATCACCATCTAGCAACGCAGATGTGTTCACAGAGCAGCTCTTCCTGGGGGAAGGCCTCCGGAGGCCAGGCCTGAGCTCACCCCACCATTTCCACCTCCCTGTTGACCAAGAGGCCACAGAGGACAGCGCCATTTCCAGAGGTGGGGTGTGCATTCTGCTTCTTGACAATCTGAGCTGCAGCTCATTTTTGTAATTTACTACAGACCATAACTAGGAAGGAAAGATGGCATTCTGTGGATAGGCTCTTTACAAATCTTTATCACTTATTGCTGAAGTTTGTTGCTTCTTGTTTTTAGATGATATCATTTTTTGGAGTAAAGAAAAGGCTTAAACATTTATTTTGATATCACATATATAACAATTCCCAAAGTAAAATTTTTGCAGGAAATTCCAACTACATTCTTTCTTTTCTTTTTTTTTTTTAATTTTAATTTTATTTTTTAGGATGTTGGTGGAGGATGGCTGGAAGGAAAAAACAGCAAAGGAGAACGAGGTCTTGTTCCCACAGACTATGTTGAAGTAAGAACTTACTGTCATTTATCAGCTACACCTTGTCTTTGTCAAACATAAGTTTTATGAATTACCAACTTAAGGGACAGACTGGATGATAGCAACTTTATTTTTAATAAAAAATTTTCATTGCAAAAATAATACACGTTAATTATATAAAATGTGGAGAATACATTGAAGTGGAATTAAGGGAAAATATTATCTGTGGACCCAAGCTCCAAAGAGTGACTCCAAATATTTAAGTGAAGCTCTTTCCAAAGATAGCAGTGTGTCATTATTCTGAATCTAAGTCCCTTTTCACTTGCTTATATTGTGTAATAGCTGCTACCTACAATACTGTTTATTATAGAATTGCTTCACACAGTGTAAATTGAGTACATTTCTCTCAGTTCCTTCTCCCACCCCCATAGACAGAAGGGTCTTGAACGAGCTACTGGGGACCATTGCCTGGGTTAAGCTCTGTTATGATAGATGCCCAGGGTAGTGTTGCAACACCTTGAATGAATGAGGCTCCTGCCTGGGACACACCCACTCATCTGACAGGCCCTCTTGTGGGTCAACCTCCCGGCGCCCCCCGCTGGTTGTCCGTATGGGTTCTATAGCAAGCTTGTCTCTAACCTGGGATACAGAAACTAAGGCTGCCTGGTAGCCTGGGAGTAAAATCGGAGTGAGATCCAGAATAAAGGTACCTGCGGTTTCCCTCCAGCAGGGAGGAGCTACACCCAGGGAAGATGTGTACCGGGCGCTGCCTGCGGAATGGGATGGCTGCCCGTCTCTTGTTCCTGAGTGAGAGAGTTGGGGTGGGAAGTTTTGAATCTTTGGAGAATCTAATGAAATCTGTAGTCCTTCTCAGAAATGTGCATTTGCAAGCACCCAACTTTTGCATACAGTTTCAGTTTTCCCAGGCCTCTGAACTCAGCTCACATGCCTTACATTTATGTTGTGTTTTAGCTTAGGACAGCGTGCTTTCAGGATTCTGAAAATTCACAAGAATAAGAAAAATCTGACGATTTAAGTAGATACTGTCTTTAATTGCATTTTCTAGAACTCTGCATATTCACAGAAAGTAATAGTTACTGTGCTTGGGTTACTTGCCTCTTAGAAATATAAACCCCTTTTCTATAATAGATAGCAGTTCTTACTTGCCCTCAGGGACTCTTAACTCTGAAATAACTCTAATATATTAAAATGATTGTGATCCTTTCTAATGTTCAGATTTTGCCCAGTGATGGGAAAGATCCGTTTTCTTGTGGAAATTCAATGGCTGACCAAGCCTTCCTCGATTCCCTCTCAGCAAGTACAGCTCAAGCGAATGTGTCAGCTGCCAACAGTAACAACACGGTGAGTCTCACATCACCCTGCTGGGTGTGGCTGGCCTCACTGGGAGCAGAGTGCGTTGTGAGAGCTTGTGCTACGTGATAGCTGTCAGATGCTGTGTGGCATTTCTCCTGGGTATTAATTAACAAAGAACTTGCTTGAAAAGAGTTGCCTTGAAAAGTCTGGCACGATCTGAACACAGAGCCTGTAAGTTGCGAATACCCCGTCAAGTGAGGGTGTGGAGAGGAAAAAAGGGTCCTGTGCTGAGGTGGTCAGTGTGGAAGCTCTGGCTGGGACAGGAAACCATCTGTCTGACCTTGGCACCTTGCTTGCACTCTCAACTAGAGCTCCCTCTTCTCCCAAATGCAACACATGTAAAAGTGACTGCCAGCCAGCTTTGAGCACTTGATACTATTATTGTATTGCTTTTAGAAAACTTGGGACGGTGTGATAATTCAGTGGGAAAATTACACTGTAATTTTACATTAATTTTAATGAAAATATGATCAGTTTAGATGATGCTGCCTAGTGCAGTTATTGCTAATTGATTATCCACAGTGAGTGACAAAAAGACAATTGAAAGAGTGGATATCAGAATATTATTGCTGCCTACATCTTTAGAGTGAATGGGCTTTAGGGAATGCTATTTCTTTATATATTTTCAACTACTTAGGTTCTTTTTGCCTCAGTTTCCTCATTAGTAAAACCTCATAAAATTGTTGGAAAGAGTAAAGGGAAAAATAGTTATACTTTATAACTATTTTTCCCTTTACCAAATCCCTGCTGAGTACTTGGTACTCAGCAGGGATTTGGTAATTGTTTGTTCCTGCTGTCTTATACACTGCTGTCCCTATAGTAAGACATTTAGGGGCCTCCCCTTTGCCTCCTGAAACAAGTAACCATTAATACATGCAAAGAGAAAGAGTTAGGCAAGAGGTAGTCACTATCCTATCAGTCAGGATAATCAAGCAGACACCAAAGTGCATGATAGGAAATTGCGTAAGAAATTCACCTGAACTTGAGGTAGGATTAGATACTTTTCCAATCTCAGTTCCTTACCTTATCCTTACTATGTTTTAAGCTCCAGCCAAACTGGCTGTTCTCCAAATATGCCTTATGCTACCCCATCTTTTCTTTGTATCTTTGTTCTCTTCCAAGAATTATAGAATGGTTCCTTCCATCTTTCAGAAGTCTGCCCAACCCTTAGGTCTCAAATCAAACATTACGCCTTTAGAAGTCTGTTTTTTCTTGTCCCCTTTGCTCCCTCTCGGTTCTTGTAGCACTATTTGAGACTCGAAAATTATATTACTTATTTGTAAACTTGAAATTGTAGCTAAAGCCTCAAAGGTTTCAAATTGAACACTTTGGGCAAGAATATATTATGGGTAATTTTGTATATTCATGCTACATCATATCAGAAGACGTAATATCCGGTCAGCCCACCATTACTGACCAGAATGACTTTGGTCAGGTCAAGTTTTATTAGGGTCCCAGGGGAATTACTACAGTGTTTTTCCCCTTATGCTTAAAATGGTTACCTCTTAGAAGTCCATTCAAAGTATTTCCTCTGACATCAATATTTGACATTTTTCTTGCTCTTAAATACTACTCATTCTATCATTTGTTATTGCTGGGTCAGCTTCAATTGATTTTTATCTTTTTATGGGTCTTAATTTCTTGCTTCTTTTCTTGCCTTGTGATTTGTTATTGGATGCCAGACATTTGTGACTTCTATCTTGTTATTATATGCTGGATAGTTTTATATCCTCGTTCTGGCATGCAGGTAAGTTACTTAGAAACAATTTAATCCTTTCACAGTTTATTTTTTAAAACATTTTAAAGTGAGATCAGAGCTACATTTAGTCCAAGGACATTTTTTTCCCCTCCAGGGAAGCAAAACCCTTTTCAGTCTGTCCCTAGTGCCTATGAATGATGAGGTTTTCAATTCCGGCTGGTGAGAATGGCCGTATGTGATACATTGACACCTAATCCTCTCATGTGGCAGGTTTCTCACCTGCAAATGCTGATAAGGACTGAGCCCAAAACCTGGGGCCTCCTTCAGTCAGTCACATCTCCCCCTCGGTCCTCTGCCCCAAACTCCCAGCTGTCTCCACAACTCGAAGACCACTGGGCTTTGTGTGGGTTCCCACCCCCAGTCCGTGGCCTGGAAAGTCTCTCCAGGAGGGAGCGGTCCTTCACTGCCTTATGTCCAGTGATTTGAAATCAATTTCATATATTTTGTCATTTTTATCTTTCAGTTTTAAGTGGAAACTGCATCCCAGTTACTCCATCTTGATTGCCCACTTTTGCATATTACTTGGTTTAGAAAACCAAGTTTATCTATATCTATAAAATGGAAATAATGCCACCACTTTGCAAGAGAGTTGTTCCAAAAAGTGCGTTGTCACAAAACTGCATAAATGTTAAATAATGACATTGACTTCCCTGATAGATAGTTGTGGAGCTGGAATTGAAGCCTGGAAATTAGACTCCAAAACTGTCCTCTTAACAGTGATGCCGGTTTGGCCTTGGCTGGCTTAGCGGGAGGGTATCCGTGATTCTTTTCTCCCTACGATGCTGCGTACTGAGGTGGGCAGAGCCTCGGGAACCCACCAGAAGAACTTTGCTCCTGAGTTCACGGCCTGGACGGGCTGTGTGGTGCCCTCGGCTGGGTTTGGTGGGTTCGTCATGGCTCTGTGATTGCTTCACGTCAACCTCATGGCTGTTCATCTCCTCTTCGCTCTCATGTATCTGGTGGCCATGAAAGCAAAGGGTTCAACATGCTAACATTATTAAAAGCTTGGCTATGTTTTTTCTCTGGAGTTTCTTTCATTGGCTGTGATACTTGCATGATATTTGTTCTGTTCCCTCTGTACTATAATTATTTTTAGTGCTTCAGAGATGCTGAATTATGACAGCAGCAAGTCTTTTTTTTATTATTATTTTTTTAATTTTTATTGTTTTTTTTATAGAGAGGAAGAGAGAGGGATACATAGTTAGAAACATCGATGAGAGAGAATCATCGATTAGCTGCCTCTTGCACACCCCCTACTGGGGATGTGCCCACAACCAAGGTACATGCCCTTGACCGGAATCGAACTCGGGACCCTTCAGCCCGCAGGCCAATGCTCTATCCTCTAAGCCAAACCGGTTTCGGCAGCAACAAGTCTTTAGAATATAAACTAGTGCATTGAAGATAGCCTATTGCTACACAATTGGGGCTTTGCTTTTTGCATGTAATGTGTGTGAGCGAGGGGCATGCTGAAATTTCCTGGTAAACTTAGCCCTGCTATGAATTTGCTGTTTTTAGTTAAGAGCTTTGGAGTACTCTTTTTTTTTCTTCATTTACTGAGCACCTCTTTTATTTTAAGGTGGATATTTTGGCTCAGATTGGTTGTGTTGAAAGTCGCAGCCAGTCACCACCTTCTTCATCTTCTCCTTCTCCTCCTTCTTCTTCCATAAATAAGGTAAAATTCAAACTTAAATACAAGAGGAAATAAACATTTAAAACCCCTGAAGTAATACCTATTTCCCAGTGAGGTCATTGCTCCAGGTAAAGCATCTTGCACAGCCCTTCTGGAGGCGTGTGGAACCATTGGAACTGCAGTGAGGGCTCAAGAAGAGTCTTAAGGACGAGGCTGAGATTCAGGAAGGACTTGGTGCCATAAAGGGAGGGGCCGGGGGAAAGAAGAGGAAGACATTGCTGAGGATAAAGGAGAGGAGGGAAAGGTAGAGAAGAGTTGCCTCTAGGTTTGGCTGGGACTGGACCCCTTAGTGCGGTAGGACTTGGGCAGAGTTCAGGAGGATGACGGAGGAGGCTTTGTGTGCCAGTAGAGAATAGCATGAGCAAAGGCAAGATGTAGGAGAGTTTGGGAACCTGTGAAGGTTGAAGCACAGAAGTGAAGGTTAATGGCAAGTAAGAATGGGAAATGTCATGGAAGGGAAAGTTAGGACCTTGATGGGTGGACAAAGGAGCTTGGAGTTTATTCCATTGCCAGTGAGAGCTAATGAAGGGTCTTTAACGACATGTGATTGAGAGTTAGGAAGGGTTTGGTACCCTAAAGAGGTTAAAAGAAGAGGATGAAGGCACTGCTGGGGAGGAAGGAGAGGGCAGAAAGCTGAAGAAAGTAGAGAAGAGGCACTTCAGAGTTGAATCCGTAGGGAGGAGCACAGTGTGTGACCAGACACAGGCAGCTGAGGGACCACGGAGATGGAGGTTGAAAGCAAAGGAGTCAGAACGATGGGCTCAGAGAGAGACAGGACCAGACTGTGTGAGCTCATTTAGGTATTGATATTAGAAAAGGGGTTCTGGAGGTCAGTGAAAGGTCATCGGAGAGAGAGAGAAAGCCAGTAAAAGGCATGAGAGAAGCCGGAGAGAGTTCTGGTTTGGAAAGATTGAAACAAGATAGAAAGTTCCAGGAAAAATAACAAAAGACAGAGAAGCAAACCATTACTAGATTTGCCTACAGGGATTTTATAATCTAGATAGAGAGCTAAGATCATAAACATAACCAAATAATGTAGCAGTTATTACAAGTATTTTATGAACAAAGTGGTTTTAGAGAGAATGATCATATGTTTCTGCCCTAAATTGTAAATTTGGGGATACTTGCTGTGAATAGGCCACACTCTGTTTTCCCCAGTGCTGATGAAAATCTGTCTTTGACACTTCACTGACAGCCTCGTCGGCACGGCAGTGCTGATCTCCTACCCTTCCTGTTGCTTTCGTTTATAACCCTCTGTTCCTTCACAGTTTACTTCAGTCTGTCAGTTGCAGACCCCAAGTCGGCTGCCTGGACTTGAATTCTAGCTGAGGTTGCCCCGCTGGAGAGGCAGGGCCAGGATTGTAACCCCGCAGCCTAATGGAGAGAAGCCATGTTCCTAACGGTGCCGCCCTCGGTGGCCGCCTTTATTCCAGTCTCCACTGGAGTAGCTTGGAAGTATTATCTTGTAAGCCATGTATTGGAGAAATTCACAGTCATGTGAATGAAATGTCTTTCTGCTATTAATATTTGCCTTAGAGCAAAATCATTAGGAACTTCAGAAATCATAACTCCATATATAAAACATATATTCTGCTTTTTATGCTTCTGGTATATTGTAGCCAATTATCTATCCCATCTGTCAGTGAAGTGTAAACAGACCAACATTATAGGGTTCTAGAATGTTAAAAAGCTACCTAAACAGTTTGGGAAATTTTTCTATAAATATCTATATGTCTCTATCTCTTTCCTCCGCCCCCAACTCCATTTTTTTTTTTCTCTCCCCATGTGAAGGGGAAATATTGTGATTCCATGTTCTTGGATATACAGATTCAACATTGAAATTGCTGCTGTTGTTTTTTAAGGCATTACCTGTATTTAAATTTAAATTGGTTGTAAATTTTCCATTGCTTTCTTTCAGCATTACTATTGTATTCAATTGTTACGTGATTCCTCCCGAATTGAGTAATGCTTCTAGAAGTCACAAATATTTTTTCTCCTTTTTTCACCCCCACCAACAGGTCAGCAGTGGCAATGACCCCTGGTCGGCCTGGAGTGCCTCCAAATCTGGAAACTGGGACAGCACGGATGGCTGGGGAGCCAAGGCAGAGGGGACTGCAGCCCAGAAAAGCACTGCCAATAACTGGGACACCGCCTTTGGTCATCCCCAGGCCTACCAGGGACCAGGTGAGGAGGATGAGGAAGAGGGCTCTGCTGGGGCCTAGGGCATTGGAATAAAAACAGATTCTAATCCAAGGAGCTGCTCTCAGGCGCTTCTGTTGGGTAATGGTGAACCTATTACTAGTCTGCATCTATTGTAGGTAGCTGTTAATTATGGCCATTAGTCCAATCTCAGTTATCTGTCAAGGAGTTACATGCTTGCAGGGGCCAGGTTCATAAAGCAAAAGAACACTTTAAAATCTTGGCAATTAGTTGAAACTGGTTTGGCTCAGTGAATAGAGCGTCGGCCTGTACACTGAGGGGTCCCGGGTTCGATTCTGGTCAAGGGCATGTACCTTGGTTGTGGGCACATCCCCAGAGGGGGGTGTGCAGGAAGCAGCTGATTGATATTTCTCTCTCATCGATGTTTCTAGCTCTCTATCCCTCTCCCTTCCTCTCTCTAAAAAATCAATAAAATATATTTTAAAAGATAAAAATAAAATAAAATTGTGGCAATCAACATACATGTAGTTTCTTTTAAATCTTAGGCTGAAAACAAACGTATACAGATGAAATATGGTGTATCACCTGCCAGGCTATGATCTGACAGGCTGTTTCATCTTTTCCTTAACTACTTGTTTGACTCCCAGGCCATCAATGGAAATATTGAGGCAGAAGAGGAATTTATAGACGGGGAAACAATTAAGGAAGGATATTTATGTCAGTTCTGAAAACAAATAAGATACAAATCTGCTCATCATTTTTCATGATCCCTGTATGAGCACATTGTGCCAGGAATTGAATGTGCTAACTGGTGAGGACCAGGACTATTGGCAGGACCAGGAGTCTTGGGCTGAGTAGAAATGTTGAGACCAGACGTTGACGTGTAGTTCTTAGTAAGTGCCATGGCCCCAGGAAGCTTGGCTCAGGTCCTTCTAATACTTCCTGTTCTTTTCTTTTTTGTTTTGGCATTTGTCTCTTCGTTGTGGCACTCTTAAGGCAGAGATGCCATGGCCATTTCCTGTCTAATAGCAAAAGGACACGCCAGGCCCCCAGAAGTGGGAGGCAGGCAGACTGTGGTGAGGAAGGGAGCAGGCGAGCTGGCAGCACCTTACCAGATACATAAACTTCTGCTGTGTTAGGCTGCTAGTGCTGGCTGTACTTCCTATCTCCCGTTTTTCTGTCCTTTCTCCTCTATTCCCATCCTGTTCCTTTCCATCTCTCCCACCATCACCCTTCTCTCACCTTTATTGTTCCTAGTGATAATTGCTTTTAAGAGCTGTATTATACCTTTTGTCCTCCTCACTCATAGATAAATAGATAGGTACATAGACAGATAGATTTCAGAGAGGAAGGGAGAGGGAAAGATAGAAACATCAATAGCATCAATGACGAGAAAGAATCATTGATCAGCTGCATTCCCCCTGCTGGGGACCAAGCCCACAACCCAGGCATGTGCCCTGACTGGGAATCAAACCATGACCTCTTTGTTCATAGGTCAGCACTCAACTACTGAACCATACTATGCAGACCTCGCCAATCTTCTTGACTTTAATCTGTTTGATCTGCTTCCTTGCGAGTTTATAACGCTAGATTTATCAACGAATGGGCCTCCAGAAGACCTTTCCTTGTGTACCATGGAGCATTTTTATAGTAACTTCAGATGAAAATGAAGTTACTTGGACTGACAGTCCTCTTGAAGCTAAAAGGCAGACTACACTGAAAGCCTTATGACTGACTGGGGGCCCATATTCTTCATGTCTACTTCACGCTACTATCGTACACCCTTTTCTCCTTTTCTAACTGGTCAGCCCAGTCGGTAGTTTTTATCCTAAAATTAAATTATTCCCTTTTTATTTTGTTTTCCTTCACTGACCATCGTTGGTGCCCACCCCTAGCAACTGGTGACGACGATGACTGGGATGAAGACTGGGATGACCCCAAGTCATCTTCTCCCTACTTCAAGGATTCAGAGGCAGCCGAAGCAGGAGGTGCTCAACGCTTAAACAATCGTGCTGGCTCCTCGTCGATGAAACTGCCACTTAACAAGTAAGTTTAAAGAGAGTCAAGGCACGGGACCTCTGTGTAGTAATAGACGAGATACAAAGAGGCCTTTTCTCTTCTCAGTGATTTACAAAGTTTTGTAATTTGCTCACTTTATTTGGATCTTAGCTTGTTAGTTTGTTTTAATACTAGAGGCCCAGTGTACAAAATTCATGCACTCGGGGCCGGGGGTACCTTAGCCTGTGTTGCGAGAGGGCGCAGGCCAGGCTGAGGGACCCCACTGGTGCACAATTGGGGCTAGGGAGGGACATGGGAGGTTGGCCAGCCAGGGAGGACCATAAGAGGGCTCCAGTACATGTTCAGTCTGACTAGCTCATTCCTGATCTGCTTCACCCCAGCAGCAAGCTAACCTACCAGTCAGAGCATCTGCCCCCTTGTGATCAGTACATATCATAGCGATTGGCCGACCGGTCACCTATCTGCCTGCTGGTGGTCAGTGCACATCATAGCAAGTGGTTGAGTTGCCTTAGCATATCATTAGCATATTACACTTTGATTGGTTGAACAGATAACCAGACAGCATATTACGCTTTTATTATATAGGATTTTTTTTTCACTTTAAAGGAAATATTTGTCCTATTTAATGATCTGCAAACACTGTTTTTACCTTTATCAACTCCAGGATGTATTTAGGTTTACTTACTGATGTCACAGGAAAACCAAAACTAACTTTCTTTAAATATTTTATTATTTATTGATCATTGATCGCTTATCGAATTACCAGGCATTGTGCAAAGCAGTTTGTATACATTCTCATGAGACCCTCATATCCCTGTGGTACATGTAATCTCTGTTCTGTGGGGAAAACTGAAGCCCAGAGAGGTTAACCAACTGCCCAGACTCACACTGGATTCCAGGCCAGTCCCTCAGTCTCCTAAGTACATGCTCTAAACTACATTGCTTAAGGTAATTAAGATTATTTTCACCTAGATTTCTCTTATATTAAAAAAGGCTTTGAGTCATACTTGTAGATGCACTGCTTAACAAGAAAGCAGGTGGTAAATATGGACGGAGTACTGTAGCATTGGTAGAGAGTTCTGCATAGTCTGTAGTTCACACCATGGAGCTTGAAGGGGATATAATTTAAGACTTCCATAAGAATCTTCAAGTGCTCTTTCTTCCAGCAGTTATGTGTGAAATAGTTTTCTAAGATGACTGATACTGTTTCTCAGTGTTCCAAGCCCATGATTCAAAGCAGATACCAAGGAATGTTAACCTGTGTCTGGAAAAATATTGTCAACATAATGTCTGATACCTGTATCTAGTTACCAGGCTCCAGTTCTAGATCTGCACACATATGCATACGTTAATAAGCCCTACAAGTCCCCTTAGTATATTTAATGAGCATCAGTGATTAAATGTCATCTTTAGCTACCCACTTTTCCTATGTCTCTGTCTGGTTTCTTCCATTATGTATTTTCATGTTCGGTTTCTTGTGTAAAAAAATTAGTCATTTATTATTGACAGTATCCTGTTTCTTGGGGACAAATTTGAAGTTTTCAGTATGGTCAGTAAAGATCTGTATTTCTCTCCACTGTTCTTTAAACCTGAACACAGAATATATTTAAAACCCATTTCAGTGGAATGTATCTCTTTGTCCCAGTTTGAAAATGAGGAAGTCGAAACTGCACCACATGACCGGCCAAGTTTTCTGCCAAGTTTTTGTGGCTAGAAAGTGAGGTTGTGGCTGGTGCCCAGGCCCATGGCTCCACCGCCTGTGCTTTCTTTCCACTGCTCGACGCTGGCTCTGATACGCTGTATAATATTAGAGAAGTTGGAAGATCTGGTTGAGCCTCAGCCACCTAACCTCTAAAGTGAAGGGGCTGGCTTTAAGAATTTTCTGCTCTAAAATTTCATTCCTCTTTGAAACCAAGTTAAAGCAGTCCTCGTTTGCATCTGCAAAAATTTCTAAAACCAATCTTGTCTTCTTTACAAGTAGCACTTCGGATGGCTATGCATGTACTCCAGCTTTTCTCCAATTTTAGAAATTTGCTTTGGATTTAGATTTGATTTCTGGAAGTAACCAAATTTATTATGTTTTAGGTCTCTGTTTTCTTTTGAGTTGGGAAAACTGGTTCTTTTGTCTGTCAAAGGCAGCTTCTTTGGGATAATTGTGGTTGCCCTGAGGAGGGCATATGTTGAAAGGCAGCTTTAATTTGGATCTAGAAATGCTGAGTGTGGCCATTACCCCGTGGTCAGCTCCCATTGGTATGCTCGGTAGCATCTCCTGTGACGTGGGGGACATTTTTCTGGTGTGCCCTTCACTCTTTGTGAGGTGATAAAGTTAGGCAAATGGAGTGCCATAAATATCACACCTTCTGGAATCAAACTGTTCTCTTACCAGAAAGCTTAATTAAATGACTAATTGGCCGCCACACAATCTGATTAGTTTAAGTTTCATTTACCACAGTTTCCTAGACCTAGTACATCTGTGAGACAGACAAGGTTAAGGTGGTTGTATTAAGTAAATGTGGATGAGAGCTGTATAATTCTTTTAAGAAAGACATACGTCTCATGAACATTTGTCTTCATGTTTAGGTTTCCGGGATTTGCAAAACCTGGGATGGAACAGTATTTGTTGACTAAGCAACTAGCAAAACCCAAAGAGAAAATTCCTATCATTGTAAGTTTGTTCATTTTTGTTTGTTTGCTGTGTTTCTGACTAAGCTCTCTTATATCTCTTAAAACTAAAAGGTTATTAGTTATTTGGAAAGTTTCTAAACACATTTAATACTCTAAATAACTGAATATGTGCTAGTATTTTAAAAGTACTAAAGTTAATTAGCATAAATTAATGTCTGTCATAATGTTTAGGTATTGTTTACATTTACCTTTCAGATTTAGTAATTGAACCAACATCCTTTAGTATCTGTATTTTTAATAATTCTTTGTCTGTTTGGTGTCTTGAAGTACCTTTTACATGCTGTTTTTCTACCAGCCCTGCCTATTTGGTTAATAAACCCAATTCAAATATTTAGGTTTCTGCCTGGCAAAGTCCATGCATGCTATCAGAATTAAGTGCCTTTTCCACTAAGTTGATATAATTAGTCTATTATGCTCTCAGGTCATAATAAGGAGCTAGCAAATAAAAGCTGGCAGTAATGACACCATTCAGAATATCTGTCTTAGAATAATTTGGCTATTACATCACATGCACTGGCTCTTCAGTTTCACCCGAACATTGATTGCTGGTAGATTTTTCTGTCTAAGCATTAAAAAGCTGATACTCCCAGATAAAATTCTGGGAAAGGGAACTGTGGCTCCTTCTGATCCTATTGCCTTACCCCGGTGACTACGGGATGGGGGAACCTTGAGTGTAATCATCATAGACTCAAACAAGGAGGAGGAAACATCTGGTCTTAATCCATAATCTCCTAGGAGACTTGATAAAGTTGCAAGAATGATGTTGGACTTATTTTATTACTTATTCTTACATTCTTGAAACCTGGAAATCTCCTGAGAGAAGGAATGTGACCAAGACCCCCTTTTTCCTTCTCTCCTCAAAGCAAATTTGGGGTAATTATCTTCTGAACTACCCTAGAACAGATATTCTTTTTTTTTTTTTTTTTTTTTTTTAATATATTTTATTGATTTTCCACAGAGAGGAAGGGAGAGAGATAGAGAGTTAGAAACATCGATGAGAGAGAGTCATCGATCAGCTGCCTCTTGCACACCCCCTACTGGGGATATGCCCGCAACCAAGGTACATGCCCTTGACCAGAATCGAACCTGGGACCCTTCAGTCCCCAAGCCGACGCTCTATCCATTGAGCCAAACCGGTCTCAGCTAGAACAGATATTCTTAATGGTGTCATTAGATTTAATTTTTTTTTCCCTTCAGACCTTTTGTAAATACTGAACATGTATCATTGTTTTTGTTTTGTTTTGTTTTGCATTAAATTTAAAACTCCACATAGTTAAGAGGCTCTCGCCCTGCCCCCTGGATTTGCAAAGGGGACTTTGTCACAAGTGTGGCAGTGGTGTAGAGCTAAAGGACCCCAGCTTATGTACCGAAGCCGTAGGTCGAAGTGGCTGGTGCCCTGCAGGCAGACTGCCTGTGTGGGCTTCTTGCGTGGAAAAGGGAGCCCAGGAAAGCCATTTGTCTCCAGGAAACCGAGAGGAAGTAGAGACCTGGTTCTTGGCTCTTAAGGCACAGTAACCCTTCCCACTGATACAGTGGACCCTTGTGTAGTGAGCAGAGCCCATCAGAATTGCTCTCGTGCTGTGATTGTGGGGAGTTCCCCAGAGGCTTCTCTGCAGCTTTAAGGGTTTTTTGGATCAGCACTCGCTCTTGGGGAGCCAGAGTAGCTTGTTGTCATAGTTCTTCTCTCTAGCACCTTATTAAAATCCTCTGGACCCCAGTCACCATCCTGACCTAATGGCCTCTGAACTTGCATGCCCCGCCTCACTCTTCCTTCCTCCCACCCTAAACAGAAATAGGCCAGGGTATACAGAAAATGAGAACGTTTGATGGCAACGTGACATTTTTCAGACATACAAGGCTGTAATTTTTTATTTCACAAGCTATCAACCCATGAGAGAAGAGAACATTTTAAATTAGCCCTTTATACATATAACTAAGATTGCTGGACCAGAGAGAGAAAACTTGTGTTCCACCCAGCATTCCCAGCGGGGAGGGAAATAGGCATCTTCCCCTCGTGGCCTGGAGGACCCGGACGAGGAATAGCAGTATTTGCCTGGTGTGTTCTTCAAATAGAGCTCAACGGGAACAGAGAACATTGATGTAACCCCCAAACAAGGGCAAGAGTGACCCTCCAAAGGACCCCTAGTCCTAAAGAGAACCTTGATGACTTGCATCAATTTTATTTGCGGTTTTTCCTTGTAACAAAGTTAACTCTCCTTGAAACGTTATGTAGGTTGGAGATTATGGCCCGATGTGGGTTTATCCTACCTCTACCTTTGACTGTGTGGTAGCAGATCCCAGGAAAGGCTCCAAAATGTATGGGCTGAAGAGCTACATTGAGTATCAGCTGACGCCCACTGTAAGTATCCGAGTTATCAAAAGCTTATGTCACTAGTTAGAATTGGCTTTTTTCTTCATTTTCTGTAATTGGCATTGTAACTTTTTCTCCTCTTTCCCTTATTTTGTAGAATACTAATCGATCTGTAAACCACAGGTATAAGCACTTTGACTGGTTATATGAACGTCTCCTGGTTAAGTTTGGATCAGCCATTCCAATCCCTTCTCTTCCAGACAAGCAAGTCACAGGTGAGTGTGTGTGCCGCTGAACTCAGGGCGACAAGTAAAAAGACTCCAGTTTTTAGAGTTTCCCGATATAAATCAGTAATGGCATTTTCCATCCTCTAGAGGGGCCAGATGTAGGAGTTTGGAGACAGTAGCTGCATACACTATACATACCGTACATGTGTTTGGAAGTGACCTTGACACCTAACAAAGACTCAAAGTTTTCTGATGAGTTCTGGTAGACATAGCTTGAATTCTAGCGAAGTTGTTGTGTCTTTATTGCTACACCCTTTCTTGTAAAAGAACTACATGAATGTTAAAATGATACCTGAGAAACGATCCAAGTAGCCTGAAGTGGAACCTCAAATCTATGACCCCGCTGGTGTGAGCGCTTCACGCAGTCAGATGTCCTGTTTGCAGTAGAGATGTTTAGACATCCGAGGTAGAAGCCACAGAGCTTCCAGCTGTTAATGTAGGCGCTGCCAAGTTTTCTACCCAGTTAGGAGGTGACTATTTGTAGTTAAATGTTTTTTATCTATCACTGAGAAGCCCTCTGCTTTTTCTTATTTAAGGTGTTATTTTCCCCACTTGCCCTGTCCCAAGTAATCTGGTGAAGAATCCACATGCTGCCAGAGCCCCTTATAACGTGCAATCGGAAAGGACTTCTGTGTCTGTTTTTTTTTTAATCTCCTAGTATAAAACCTGGAAAAATAGTACTCAGGATTTATGTTTTTCTTTGAATAAAAGTTTGTAACGAAGCTGAGCTTTGCTGAAGATCGGGAAGAGTTTTAGTAAGCAGGTATGGAGCTGATAAGCACAGAAAGGAAAGGACCAAAGATGAGAGTGCGGCTTAAGGCCTGGGGTAGATAGCCTCTGAGAAGGGATGACATCAACAAGCTAACCTCACCCCTAGAGCAGAACGCAGAGTCTGCGGAGCAAGGTCCTTTCCCAGTGTCAGCGAGGACCAGACAAGGCTTATCTGGAGAGTGGAGATAAGTGGTTCAGAGAGGAACTGAGAATCCTGACCAGCCGAATGGCAGAGCCGGCCAGGACACTTCAGTGCTGTAGTGAAGTTACCCCCCTGCCGGGGGCCGAGGGCCCAGACACGGCGCTGTGCTGTCTCCGTTCAGAAACACCGAGCCGCCCTGCCGGCATCGGCATCAGAATCACATTCCGAAGCTCGCTGTTTAACATGAGATGTGGACCAGCTCATCTTAGTCAGAATTAGGGACCTTAGGATAAGAAGTTTGTTTTCCTTAAAACGTTACCTTGTACTTATTTTCTGTTTCTCTGAAAATTTTTGAGGACATGGAAACATGTTTTTAAAAAGTTGTTTTGATTTAGATTTTTTTTTTTTTTAATTTTCAAAAATTTCAAATTGTCACAGCAGAATGGGGAGTGGGGCTGGGGCTGCATTAGCATATTCTCGCCCTCATCCGGGTGACCCTGAGCAGCCCCTTGGGCGGGGCACATGGGCAGGAAGCCGTGTCAGGGTGGCCAGGCTGGTGTCTCTGCTGCCTCCTTCCACTCGGAGGGGTCACTGTACCCCAGTCCTGTGCCCGGTTCACAGTCCTCCTTTTGTCATCCTGTCGCTTTAAATAGAAGTTTGCTTTTTTAAATTTTAGATTTCTTTCCCTGAAAACATCAGTCTGCCTTTCTCCATATTTTCAAATTGCAGTTTGTTTCCTGAATGTTATACTCTCCTTTATCAACTTGACTGGCCCAAAATGTGGAATGAGTGGATTGAGTTATTTCAGGGCTGAGGAATTTACAGACCACTTAGGTTTTAATACATTGTTTAGTCTAAATCAGATAACTGTGCTGTTTTAAAGCATCGTGGAGTCGTGGTTCTCTTCCCATATTAAGGTTTGTATGGTTTTTTTTAAAAAGAAAAGTTCAGGCCCGAAGCCAGGGGGATGCCAGAGGAAAGCAGAAAGCACAGCCCGCGGTGTGCAGAGCTGAGCCTTGATTCACTGCCTGGGAGATGTGCTGAGGAGACTGGAAAGCACAGAAGCCACTTCTCTCTCCCTCCTCTGGCCTGCCTCCTGCCCCGATGCCACAAGACCATTATTGTGTAAACAAACTCCCCTTGCACTCAAGTCTGGAGGACGGGATAGAAATGCCAACATATGATGTCACGGCATTTCTGTGGACTTGCTGAGCTGTCCCTGAAAAACCTACAGCTACCATTTTTTATTTGTTCACAGATTTGGGGCCTTGTGAAATAATATTGAATGAATCTGGCTTTACTCCTGGGTGCAAAACTGATATGTTCACATTCTTAGTGAAAACCTAAGCAGGGTTATTAAAAGTGGGAAAAGGAGAATTCCCTCCCCCATTTCCCGCTCCCCCCCCCCCAAATTCTCTGAAACGTGCTATAAAAATCTTACCAAGCGCAAAATAACACCTGAAATTATTTGGAAATAAACCAGCTATGTCAGAAAATTTTCTGGAAGAAGTTAAGAATCAATCAATAAATAAATAGGCTATGAACTCGTGGTATAATTCACTTGGTCATAATGGGGAATTTGGTATAACTCAGGTCTATGCTGATTTATCGGGTCTTTTTCTGTCCCTCCTTATATCTAACAGACGAGACTGTTTCTGCACAGCCTAAGCTTATATAGTACTTCATCTCTAGTCCTAGTAAGTGAGAATTTGAAGTGCTTTCATATATAGGACCTAGCACACAAACACACACATACACATACACTCACCATAGATGATAAATTGCTTTTCACTTGCTTTCAAATTTTTATTTTGTTTTGTCTTTCAGAAGTTTGATTCTGCTATATCTTGGCGAGGGTTCTTTATATTTATCCTACATGGGGTGTGTTGAGCTTCATGGAAGTGTAAATTAAAGTTTTCCATCAAATTTGGGAAATTTCCCCACATTATTTCTTCAGATATTTTTTTTCTTCTTTCTGTTCTCCTTTGGCTTCTCCCATCATGAGGATGTTGATGTTTTCTGAGGCTCTATTCATTTTACATTTGTTTTATTTCTTTCTGTTCTTCAGATTAAATAACATCTGTTTATATTCAGATTCACTTTTTTTTTTGTGTGCCATCTTGAATCTGCTGTTAAAACTTTAGAGTGGATTTTTAATTTAACTTCAAAATTTTTTATTCTTTTTTTTTTTTATAACTTCTGCCTTAAGATTCTCTATTTGTGGATTCCTTGTCATACGTTTCTTTAAAATTTTTAACATGGCTTCCTTTTAGTTCTTGGAACATATTTATAGAAGCTTCTTTGTTGTTTTTGTTGTGAAATTCAACATCTGGGAACACTTACAGTTTCTCTTGCTGCTTTTTTCCTCATATGGATCATGCCTTGCTGTTTCTTTGCAATCTCTTAATTTTTTGTTGAAAACAACATTTTGGGGAATATATTTTAGCAATTCTAGATTATAATTTTTCCCTCTGAAAGTTGTTGTTTCTGTTTGTTTTGTTTGTTTGTTTTATTTACAAGTAACTTGCGTAGGCTAAGTCTCTGAAACATGTCTCTCCTATGGCTCATTTTATCTTTTAAAGTAGTATGGCTTCCTAGGATTCACCTGTGTCTGTGTGTCTTGGTGGTAAGCCTGCCTCAGGCCATTGAGCTTCTGCCCTCTGCCAAGGGACCTGTGAGTGGGTAGGGGAGCACATTCAAAGCTCAGGTCATTTTCAAGGTAGCCCTGGTTTTCCCTTTTTTGAGGCCCCTTTTGTGTCTCCTTCCCATGTGTGTGTAGCCTCAGGTTGGCTGGGAGTGCGTGTCTGGCCTGGACCCCAGCAAGTGTGCCCTGTCTCTGCACTCGGCCTCGGCACCTTGGCTCGTGGAGCTGTTGGCCTGTTCACCAGCCTCTGGATTGGCACTGTCCCGCCACTGAGCATGGGCATCTCCCACGCTCCAGATCCAGTGAGGCCCTTTCCTCCCCGGGAAGAGCAACTGCCCATCTTCACACCTGCTCCGTCCTGGTGGAACCCCAGGCCGGCCAAGGAGAGATGGAGGGTGGGGGCAGGAGGGGAAGTCAGGAGCAGCCACAAGCCAGACGCCACAGATTTCCACTGGCTCTGCCTGAAGTTCGGCAGTTTTGCAAACACATATCTCAGATGGCTGCTGGCTTCGGTGGGTTTCCAGAGCTATTTGTCTGGGTGTATAGTCATTTGGGGGACTGGGTTAGCTGATTGCCTCACTTGACGGCAGCTGGAATCTCCATTGCCAGAAGCCTTTTAACTGATACCCTGTTTCCCCGGAAATAAGACAGTGTCTTATATTAATTTTTTCTCCCAAAGTTGCGCTAGGTCTTATTTTCAGGGGATGTCTTATCTTTCCATGCGCTAGGTCTTATTTTCGGAGGATGTCTTATTTCTGGGGAAACACGGGTAGTAGCTTTGTTTGGTAGGCTTATAAAAATGGCAGCTTTCATTATTGCATTCTTGAAAAAATTGCTTTTTTTATTTTCAGTTTAAGTGGCTTAAAAAATAAAATGGGGGGAAAGAGCTACAGTCCTGAGTTACTTTGCATAATTACTAAACTTAAATTTGTATATCTGAGATTATACAGCATTTGGTCACATTTTTATAAATATAGAAATTTCATATGCTTTTGTAAGAATTATTTATTAAATTCAACAATATTGCCTTTCTTATCAATAGGACTTAATATGGCCACAGATTACTTTATAAGAAAGAGAAGGTTTTTCATATTGAAATAAGATTTACTTTAAATTTTTAAAATACTTTAGGAAACCTTGAGGAAAATAGCATTTTGAGGTTATAATATTCTTATCGCAATTAAAAGGTTTGTTGACTTGTTAAATTGTAATTTCATGCTTCTAAACTAAAAAGTCTATTGTATCATTCCTGTGGGTCTTTGATAATTCACTATGTTACTTGTTTTATTTTTCTTTATATTATTTTTTGTGAATCCTCACCTGAAGATATTTTTCCATTGATTTTTAGAGCAAGTGAAAGGGAAGGAGAGAGAGAGAAACATTGATGTGAGAGGGACTCATCAATTGGCTGCCTCCCACACAAGCCCCATTCAGGGCCAGGACTCAAGCCCGCGTCTGGTGTCTGTGCGAGGGCTGCTGTGAAGTCACCGTGGCTCACCTTTACTGATAGCTCTCCACCACGTGGCCATGAGCTGTATCAACAGCTTTCTGACAGAGTGGTAATCCTATCGGCGCATCCCTTGCAGGTCGCTTTGAAGAAGAATTTATCAAAATGCGCATGGAGAGACTCCAGGCATGGATGACCAGGATGTGTCGGCATCCGGTAATTTCAGAAAGTGAGGTTTTCCAGCAGTTTCTAAATTTCCGGGATGAAAAGGTATTTGATAATTGTCATATTCACATCAATTTTATGTCTGAAAGGAGTTAAAATTATGTCAGTTGGATGGTTATTTCTGATTTTCTCTACAAAGACAATGGGGATAGAAAGTTAAATCCCAGGAATAGGAAATTAGTCACAAAGTCTGAAAGAACTGCTTGCTGGGATGGTTCTCCATCTGTGGAGAACAGATTGGCCGGAGTAGAAGGGGCAAAGGATGTGCTAGCCTGAGGAATGGTTCCTAGATGCTAAAAATAGGCTAGACTCCAAACTATGCAGGATATTACCAGCATGAATTGAGGGAAACAGGGTGAATGATTTTTTTTATGATCATATCAATTTTTTAAAAAATTGATTTTAGGAAGGGAGAGAGAGAGAAGCAGAGATCATAAAAACTGATTTTTGTAGTCAAGAACTCATGTAGATGGATGATACAGAAAATTCCAATGAATCTACAGAAAAATTACTAGAAATAAGTAGTTAGTGAGGTAGTTGGATATAAGACATTGCATATTTGTATATTGGCAATTAACAGAAAATGAAAGTATAAAAAACTATCATTTACAACAGCATGAAAAATATCAAATTTCTAGGAGTAAATACAAGGAAATTTACAAAAGACTTACATAAAAAACTATGGGACACTGCTGAGAAAAATAAAAGAAAACTTAAACAAATTTTCCAACATTATCTTTCATGGATTGAAGGACAGAAAAAATGTCATATGTAAAAAATCAAAGCACTGAGAACAGCCAAGATCCTCTGGAAAAAGCACAAAGTGGGAGGAGGACTTCATTGGATATCAGGGCTCACTGTAAAGTTAAGAGTTTCAGAAGCAAGAAAGTGGGCGTAAAGGAAGACAACAGGCCAGCAGAGCAGGACAGAATGCTCTCCTAACATCTGACACAGAGGATGCTGATTCAGTGGGGAAGGACGGTCCTTTTAACAAATGGGGCTCAGTCCATTAGATTAGCGTTCGCCAATCAGTGGTCCGTGGACCACTGGTGTCCATGAGGTCCGAAAGGTTGGTGACCGCTGCATGAGATGGCACCACTGGAGAAAACAAAGCATGGCTGCCACCTAAACAGCGTACTGTTGGTCTTGTTAGGGCTGACATTAGCATGGTGGGTATGTTTTTAAAGCATGGCCTTATATCGGAGAGGTCCATTTAAGTAAGCAAGAAAACTGGTAGAATAGAGGAGATAAAACAAAATTGGTAAATTTTTTATAATTGTTCAGGGCTGAGTCTTATAGGGGCTTATTGTTCTTTCTCTCTACCTTTGTATATGTTTGGAAGTTCCATTGTATAAAGTTTTAAATCAATTCCAGATCATTCTGAGGTCTAAATTTGAAAGGCAACCAATAAAGCTTCTAGAAGGTGACATGGGAGAATAGCTTCATTACGCCTGAGTAGGGAAGGTTTCTGAAATAAGACAAAAACAACTAATCATACAGGAAGAAATAGGGATTTTTTAGAAATTTAGATTGCATTAAAACTAAAAACTTCTGTTTATCATCAGAAGCCATTGTGAAAAACAAACTAAGATATGAACAAATATGACCAACCAATGGCTGGATTTTAGTATATGAAAACCCAAAGAAAAAGGTAAGGTAATCAACCCAGCAGAAAAATTGTAGATTTGATTAAAGACCTCTCAAAAGAAAGTATCAAATCCTCAACAAATGTTTAGAATAATAATCTCATTAGTTATCAAGGAAATGCAAATTAAACCACAGTGAATACCACTAAATATTCACCAGAGAGGCTAAAATTAGAAAGTCTGATAAGCGATGAGCAGCTACGGGTGCTCACACACTGCCTGTGGGTGTCAGAATTGGTAAACAGTTTCATGTTATCTAAAGTGGAACAGTTTTGCCAAAACCGGTTTAGCTCAATGGATAGAGCGTCGGCTTGGGGACTGAAGGGACCCGGGTTCGATTCCCGTCAAGGGCATGTACCTTGGTTGCGGGCATATCCCCAGTAGGGGGTGTGTAAGAGGCAACTGATCGATGACTCTCTCATCGATGTTTTTAACTCTCTCTCTCTCTCCCTTCCTCTCTGTACAAAATCAATAAAATATATTTAAAAAAAAAAAAAAAGTGGAACAATTTTTTATTCTTATACCTAACAGAAATTCGTGTGTGTGTATGTGTATGTGTGTGTATATGCATACTCAAACACATACACACACACACACTGAATGGTCATATTATTGATCTCTGAACACATAATAATCTGGCCACTCAGTATATATCCTATATAATAAAAGGCTAATATGCAAATTGTCCCCTGGACCAGGAGTTCAACCAGCAGGCAGGCCAGCCAACTGCTGATGTCCCCTCCCCCTGGCCAGGTTGGCCGGACCCCACCCATGCACGAATTCATGCACCGGACCTTGAAATATCTGAGTGGCCAGATTATTATGCGTATAGAGATCATAATAATCTGGCCACTCATTGTTTAGGAAGACATACATAGCAACTTCATAACTTGGCAGGGGCCAGGGGTGACTACCAGTCATAGGATGGGTAAATAAATGGGGAGTATTTATATAAGGGAATATTGTATAGCTATAACAACAGTGTGATTGCATCTCTTATACACAGGTTGAGCCAAAGAAGCCAGACACACGGAAAATGTATAGAGATCTTTGCTAGTCAAACTAGGAAAACTATAGTTTAGGGATTCATGCCTGGGTGGTAAAATTCTAAAGAAAAGTGATGAACCAACCATCATAAAGGAGAGAGAGGGTAATGGTTAACTTGTGGGGGAGAGAAGAGTGGTGACTGGGGAGGGACATGAGGAGGCTTCTAGAATGCTAGCTCTCCCCAGTTCTTGGTCTAGTGGTAGTTACACAGGAGTTTACTTTGTGAGAATTCCTTGCATGGGGCGCTTTTCTGTATGTATGTGCATATATGTTATATATAACTTGCAAGAATATGTTTTTAAACTAGCTCATAGTACTGGTTCCTATCTTATATTTTAGAAAAATGTTAACCTTTTTTAGAACTAAACAGCCTAAAAATTTAAGGCACTGTGTCCAAATTCATAGGTGCGTTCCTACTCCCTGTGTTTAGATTGGAGCGGCTGGGAAAGGAACAGTGGCTGAGTCACCTCACTCACTCGGGAAGGGCTGGGGCGCTGTTCACAGGAGATCACATTTGAGATGTGCAGAACGTGCCCCATGGGGCAGGGGGGGATGGCGGCGAGCTGCTTCATGAGAATCAGAAAGGTAGCGATGATCAGTGAGCCGATTCTACCAGAGGGTTTGAAAGACCAGTGTCTCATGTGCTCGCTTTGGCAGCACATGTACTAACAGGGAACTCATGACCCTCCCATTTACAGGAATGGAAAACTGGGAAGAGGAAGGCCGAGAAAGATGAGCTGGTGGGACTTATGATATTTTCCACCATGGAACCGGAGGCCCCTGACTTGGACCTGATAGAAGTGTAAGAGACCTGCCAGATCTGCCTCCTTCTCAGCTGTGTCCGCCGCCTGTGCTCACGGTCTGGCAGGGCGGCGCGGTGGGGCTCGGTCAGGCTCAAGGGGAGGGAAGGAGTGGGCTCGGGTGAAGCACATCTCCCAGAGAGCACGCGTGGCAGTCTGCTTCCTTTCTACCCTCTGCAGTGGCCTCGGAGCAGGCCCAGAGTTGGTGGTGACTCCTAGTAAAGCATGAGGAAGCAGATGGCTCAGAGCCAGTCACACCCACGTACAGTCCGCAGAGCGGAGTCTGAGCATTGCCTCGAAGGAAGTCGTCTCTGGCCTGCTTTATCTGTGCTTTATCTTGTCATCTGCTCTTTAATGTGGGCTTGCTGAGGATTTGCAGTAGTTACTTCCTTTTCTGTGTCAGGACAAAAAAAGTCTTGAGGTTTGTTTTTATTTTAAGAAACCTCTTTCTTATAAAATCATTGCATATGTGTTAACAAAAACATAGACAAGGAAAAAATCGACACACCACACACAGTCTTCCAACTACCCAGAGAGGAAGTCAGTGTTAACATGTCGGCCTATAGCTGTTATTTCCCAAACCCTCCTTGGTACAAAGGTATCTAAAGGAAAATTGTTTAAACAGAAATGACCTCACAACATGCATCTCTTTTATCATCGTTTTAAAATTGAAGTGTCTCATGTGCTCGCTTTGGCAGCACATGTACTAACAGGGAACGACACAGAGATTAGCATGGCCCCTGTGCAAGGGGGACACTCACATTGGTGAAGCGTTCCATAATTTTAAAAAAGTATCTAGTGATGTTTTTTTCAGGTTGATAAATACTTTTTGCATCCTTAAGGAATTGATAGGTTCAGTATCACCTTAGAGCAGTGATTTTCCGTTTTTTCATCTCATGCACATAAACTAATTACTAAAACCTTGAGGCACACCAAAACACACGTTACATTTTTTGCCAAGCTGACAAAAATAAAAAGTAGCTATAATTTTGATTCATTCACACCAAGTGGCTATTGTGTTGGCTGCTGTCAGTTTGTAACTTGGCAGTCTGAGGGAAAGAGCAGTGCCCTGATGGTGGGGTCAGGGGCCACATGTTTTTACATCCTCGAGGCTCGGGGAAGTGGCTGCGTGTGCGGCTGGTTCTGGGCTCGCTGCTGGGAGAAGGAACGCCTGCCATGGCCGCCCCTCTCATGTTTACAGGTTCCACAATGGAATTTCTCTAAAGATATTCGAGAAACGAGGGTTTTATTCACTCTAGAATAGTTTTACTTGCCATTCACAAGGAGTTGAGGGAAGGAGGGAGCAGAGTAAAACAAATGGCACGTTTCTAAGTAGTTCTTTAAGAGCCTGGGTCAGGCCTGTTTGTGAGTCTGGTTTGCTTAAAGGGCAGTGGTTCTGGTGCAAGGACACAGGCCTGTGGTTGCCTTTGGGGTGAGGCTCCCTGGCCACCGAGATGTTTCTCCTCCTGCCCGATGCCGGCATTTTTCCTTGTGTGTTTGCCCACAGAGAGCAGAAGTGCGACGCTGTTGGAAAATTCACCAAGGCCATGGACGACGGCGTGAAGGAGCTGCTGACGGTGGGGCAGGAGCACTGGAAGCGCTGCACCGGACGTGAGTGCCCTCCGCGCCGCCGCTCCCCCCCCCCCCCCCGGGCTCGCAGGCAGTGAGGCCCGCTCTGCGGCCCTGTCACCGGGCCGCACCCCCGGGGCAGAAGAGCATCTAGTGACCGGAGTCGGGTCCTCCCATAGCTATCGATGAACCTCACTTCTCCACCCAAGTCAGCAGCAGACAGTCGGCTCTCACAAAGCCAGTTCAGGAACTCTTTAAAAAACACCATTTGCTTAAATACTTCCAGTTACTTGGGGTTTTGTAATCTATGAAAAACTTATCCTTTCTGCGTGTTTAGAGAATGGTTGTAGCTCATTCTTTTAATTTTTCAATGGCCAGGTGTTGATTTGACTAGCACCCTAGTTTTTAGGAAAAACCAGTGTGATTGGTAGGAAACATAAGACAGGCGGAACAGGAGCACTGCTGAGGGGCCAGTGACACCGCCAGGTATGCTTCCTGCCTGGCGTCGCCATGTCCTCCAGGACGTCTTGTCCCCTCACTTCCCTTTGTTTGCAGACTGTCGGCCTGCTGGGCCGCGTGTGCTGTGTTCCCGAAGCATGAGCTCTGGTGTCGGATTGCCCGGCCCAGACACTGGTGTCCATTGTGGATCCTGCCACGGCCTCCCCCTTCCTCCCTGAGGCTGAGGCTCACCCGTAACGTTCACTCAGGTGTCCCACCGCCTCAGGATGAGGAGTCTTCTCCGCTTCCATCCATCCTGCCTCACTGCCAGCACAGCCCCTGAGTCCGCAGAGGAAGCCCGGTGGTCAGAGCTGTGGCTGGCCTCACCCGTGGTTGGCTGGGCTGCCCCGCTGAGAACGAGGTCCTGCTAGTCTGTCACTGAAACCTATAAGAATCCTGGTCATCCCCAGTTATTTTTTAAAAATAAAAATGGCTTGGCTTTTAAGTATAAAAATAACACATGCCCACTTTAACATTATATTAATACTTCGGTACTCAGCATAGGAAGGAGGTTAAATTATATGTTTTTGTAAAGATTTTTTAAAGGTAGAATTTTTCTTCTAAATAATGGAAAAGAATCAATTTGAAGTCCAATAACAGTTTTAATGAACAAGAAAGTGAATGTGGAGGTACTTGAGGGTGAAATATTAAAATAACAAAGCCAGTGAGGAGCAATTCTGAGGTCTGTGACCCAGACTTGGAAGGGAGGGGCAAACCGGGACCTGCAGTCCAGTCTGGCGCCCCCGCTTTGGTAGTGAAGTGCTGTGGGAACAGCGTCCCATTTACTTCCGTGTAGCCGTGGCCTCCCGTGCACACAGTGCACAGTGGAGGGAGGAGTCTCAGCGGAAGCCTGGGCCCCACCCTGCCTGGAGGACTCACTGTCCAGCCTCCGTGGCCCCTGCCATCCACATGGCTTATACCAGCGGATGAGAAAGCTCACATCCCTCCTGCCTGGTCCTGGGGACTCCCTCTGCCTTTTTCTCCACAACTTGTTGATTTGAGTTTTGTTTTGTTTTGCAAATAATTAATCATACATACATAGCAGAGTGGGGAAAGCCATGTAATTGGAATCAAAAGTGCCACATCCACAGTTCCGTTAGCCATGTGACCCCGAACACATCACTTTACTGATCTGACCCCTCCCTTCCTACCCCATGAAGTGGAGGGGTGTCTGTATCGGGGGAGGGGTCGATGTGATGGAGTGGGTGGCCTGTGTGACAGACAGCATGTGCGCACTAGAATCGTCTTCTAACAGCTGCTCGTCCACGCAGAGTCATTCAGTAAATGAGAATGGGCAGTGGTGCTGGTTAACAGCATGCACCACTCATTCAACAAGTGATTACTTATAAATTGAAAGGATTTGATTGGGGGGGAAAAACAATACATTAAAAAAAAACCTATGATTTTATTATAGCATATAAACTATTTTGAATCACTTCAAATTTCTACTATTATAAAAGTAATCACTTTTAGAAAATAGCTGAGTCCCACTTCAGTCTGCGGGGTGGACTGGTTGACAATTGATTGCCTTTTCTCTTTCAGCACTACCCAAGGAATATCAGAAGATAGGCAAGGCCCTGCAGAGCTTAGCGACAGTGTTCAGTTCCAGTGCTTACCAAGGTGGGCTTCACTTACTCACCAGTGAGCGTTAGCGTGTTATCCAGACAGCCACCCTCAGACTCCTGCAGACAGGCCTCCGGCTGAGCCAGCACCTTGGCATCCACCCAGATTGGCTGGGCGCTCCGCTCAGGCCTTCTGCAGCCGCACCGTGTGACTTTTGAGAAGAATGGAGGGTTGTTAAGTGTGTTTTCTTGCCAGCTTCTTTGCCAGAAAGCTGCACACTGACTGATAATTCACATCAGGGACAATTGCCTTCACTGTAATACGCTATTGTCCTTATTTTTTAGAGTCCTTATCTTCTAAGTAACATTTATGATGACACGTTATGTGGCCAGTGGGAGGGAGGTAGGAGTGGAAAAATATTGCCCATGCACAGTTCATTGGGAGGCTTAGGTGATGGGTAAATGTAGGGATTCACTCTAGTTTTAAAAAGTCTGAAATGTTCTGTCATAAAATTTTTAAATAAAATGAATGAAAAGACATAACTTACAACCACTGGCAACTGTAATGCTTTCAGGTGAAACAGATCTCAACGATGCAATAACAGAAGCAGGCAAGACTTATGAAGAAATTGCCAGCCTTGTGGCAGAGCAGGTATTCACATACCCACACAATTCCATGTAATATTTTATGCCATCTAATCTACATGCTTAATTTCAAGTAAGTTTTAAGACAAATGCTCCAATGGTTATCCTCTACTTTTCTACTCCTGTTTATCTTTTTAGATTGTATTTGGTAATAGTGCTTCTTAGATTTAGCTTAAGTGATGGATAAAGTTGTCATCAAGAGGTTTAAAAGAGCCTTAACCGAGTTGGCTCAGTGGATAGAGCGTCGGCCTGCAGACTAAAGGGTTCCCGGTCAAATCTGGTCAAGGGCATGTACCTTGGTTGCAGGCACATCCTCAGTAGTGAGTGTGCAGGAGGCAGTTGATGGATGTTTCTCTCTCATCGATGTTTCTAACTCTATCCCTCTCCCTTTCTCTCTGTAAAAAAATCAGTAAAATATATTTTTTAATGTTTTTATAAATCTAAAAGAATACCTTCCAGGGTCCAGGGTTGGATCTGTCGTTAGCCGCCAGGGGTCAGTATATGCAGGAAGAGCACTGCTCAAGTCCCCTGTGGACTCTTACTTGCCTTGGTTCCCCCTTCGGGAAAGTGGCGGTGGAGGCACCAACTTTGGGAGGAGCTTGCTCACATGGAGCTCAGGACTCAACACTAATGAGGCGAAGCTCCCGCTCCAGTCCCAGCAGCAGCCGTCCTCGGTACAGAGCGGTGTGGGCTGGAGTCGCTCCTCTCACAGATAACTGGAACAAGTGCCTCCAAGGACATAGTCATCTAAGTTGTTTCAAATCCCTGAATTTAAACATTTTTTTCAGATAGCTTTTTAACGTGTATGTACACATGTGCCTGTGGACACACACTCATGTCATTAATTACTGTCTGCTACCTGTAAAAAAGATTGATTTTTAGAACTGTGCATGACATAGCTATTAAAAATTGTAATTCAGAAAAATAGAAAATGTTAAAGTTGCCACTTACAATGATTACTAGACTTCCTAATAATATTTTTACATTTTCTGCTAAAATTTAGACATTAAACTCTAACATCTTATTTCCTTGTATGTAAACATATAGTCCTAACGTTATTTTCCTCATGGTGTTGTATTTTGGGCCCAACTAAAATATTACCTGATGTGTCATAATTTTCTTTACAACCTGTGGTAGAGGATATAGGACTCTGGGGGTTATTTTCTTGTAGGAAAACTAAGCTGAATGCTTAAGCACTCAATAACTTGATGAGTACCTGGGGGATTTGGCTAATATAGTCCTCAGCTAGGTGTTTTCTTTTCCTTGTTTGCCTGGATTCCTTTGCCAGTAACAACCAACTTGTGTCTTGTTACAGCCAAAGAAAGACCTCCATTTCCTGATGGAATGTAATCATGAATATAAAGGCTTCCTTGGCTGCTTCCCTGACATTATCGGCGCCCACAAGGTAACTGGACCTGGAAGTTGACAGCAGACGGGAGTGAATGGGGAGCTGCAGGCACCGGCCCCACCTCTCTCCCTCCTGAGGCGGGAAGCTTTCTGGGACTCCCGGAAGTCCTTGGGGTTTAACTAGCAAGGTCCCATCACATGTTTGGTTATAAGAGCAGTTGTTTCTTTTGTTATTTAAAAACAACATTATTTTGAAGGAACTAAACATATGAAATCTTCATGCATGTAGTTAGGTATCATGATGTTTGAAATCCAAGACAGTAACAGGAATGATCCTCTCTTACCAGGGAGACCTTCTCAGCTGCTTGGGCAAGTGCTCAAAGACCCTGCCCTGGCGCAGGAAATGACCACGAGTTTTCTAGTTAAAATTCACAGCGTCAGTGTTTGCATTATATGTTTATACATAGTATAAAAAGGAAAATATATAATTCCCATCAAAAAGGTATTTTTAAACTAAATTTAAAAATTGACTTAGGGTATACTCAGATTTTGTTTCTGGTTAATTTTTGTCTCTTTCAAAATCTGTATTACCTCAGACTTAGGGTATCTTACAGCCATGGGACTCGGGACACAGTGCTGTGCAGGTTTGTTAGGAAACTATGAAGGCTGGACGGGACCATTTTAGCATTTAGCTTCACTACTAGGATTGAAGTAGGAAGAGATTGCATACGTAAATAAGAAGTTTTGTGCAACTTAGATAACTTAATATAAATCTCAGAGCATTTTCCTGATCCATTCATCCGTTGATGGACACTTAGTTGTTCTGTATCTTGGCTGTTTTAAATTGTGCCCCAGTGACCTGTGAGGGTTCTGTCTCTGAGGGAGTGATTTTGTTTCCTTCAAATATGTAACCGCAGCAGAACTGCTGGGAGAGTAGATCTTAAATATAAGGAAAAAGGTCTCATCATAAGGAAGAATATGTGTAATTCTGTGAGGGAGATGGATGTTGAGTAGACTCACTGTGGTGATCACGATAGACACATGTAACAGGTCATTGTGTTGCACATCTTAAGCTAATGCAGTGCTGCGTGTCATTGCATTCCAGTAAAACTGAAGAAAAGTAAAACTACAATCTCAGTAAATAACTCAGCTCAGTTAGCTTGTTGGAGGGTGTATCCCACTGAGTGAGAGTTCTAGGCACGGAGCCGAATTTCCCCGCGAGCCAGGAGGCCTTCTTTCCAGGCGGCTCTGAGGAATGCGCGCTGTGAGGCGTTCAGCAGCAGCTTCGGCTCCTTCCATCGAATATTAATTTAAAACGGACTCGGTGCTCGCTTAGCACCAGCCCGTCAGTCCTCCCCTGAGCTCAGGGAGCACTGTGCTTGCAGCCCGAGGTCATCCTCCCCAGTCCTCCCCGAGTGCCCAAGGACCCTGCCTCCTGCTGGGCACTGCCTGACCTGCGGTGGCCCACAGATGCTCCGGAAATGAGTGCTGCCGGGCTTCCTGCTTGCCCGCAGCATAAAACCCAGTCACAGCTCAGTGACACCTTCCAGGAACAGTTACCGTGGCTGGCAGGTGACTTGAAGGAGTCGTGTGTAGTGCTTTCCTATGTCACCTTGTAGGCACCTTGTCCAGTTCAACAGCAAGTCATTCATTGTAAAAGAAGTGGTTGCTTGGTTATATTTTAAACTGAGGACTGATGCTTTTAGCTTTGTTTTACTGATGCCATTTCACTTCTCTGTTTCACAGGCAGCAATAGAAAAAGTGAAAGAAAGTGATAAATTGGTTGCAACTAGCAAGATCAGCCCCCAGGACAAACAGAACATGGTGAAGCGCGTCGGCACCATGTCTTACGCATTGCAAGGTGAGGAGTCTGAGCAGGGGCTGGTTTCCCAGCAGAGCTGCTGTTTCCGGGATTCTCCAGAGAGAAACCCAGTGGAACCGCGGTGAAGTCAGGCTGGTTTGGAACATCCTCATAAGCCACTTGGTCACAGGACCCCAGTGTTGATGAAAACTGATGTGGCTATGAGTGACGATTTGATTAAACTTGCACATTTTTATTATTTCTTAGGGTCATTGAAGGTGCCTTTTCCAGCCTTAATATCAGCACCTTCATAATGCTCTGTCCAATTCCCAAGCTCAGCTGTTAGCAGCCTGGAGCCTCCATGGCCAAGGACCATGGTGTGTAAAGGCATTTGGAGGTAGCAGTTGGGCACAGTGGACTCTTAGTGAAAGGAAGAGTTCACTGCTTTTTACGTGGTTGAGTGTTCTCCTAGGAGCAGGAAACAGGTTTGTTCTGTTTTGGTGGACAGATAGAATATTCATGGGAAAGGAGGAGACACGGATGCTCTAGCACAAACAGAAGCGTACAGAATAGTGCACAAGGATGCCCTCGGCCTTTGGGGCTAAAACATATTTGTAGGTGATTGGGGAATGAGCGTTGGTGATTGTGGAGGGCCTTGAAAGCCAGGCAGAGGAGTCTGGACTGGATGTGGGCATTACAAAGCAATTAAAAGGTTTTGAGAGAAAAAGTGCTCACAGGAGAAGAAGGGCTTGCCGGTAACGTGTATACCTTGGAGGGCAGCATTGGCTCGACAGTCCGGCCGGAGACCACGGCTTGTGGGTGAGGTTTTGAGGACCCGGAAGGTGTGCCGGGGCAGGGAACAGCGCCGCCGGCCCTCCAAGGGGCACTCGGGGCGAGGGGTTCGTGGGAGGAGGTGTAGGAGAGATTGCCGGCTCTGGGGCAGCCAGAGCGGAGATGGGAAGCCGCCCTGCAGATTTGGGTGCTCAAGGGTTTGAAATAGGGAATTTGGTGTTGAACTTGTCTTTGAGCTTATCCAATAGATAAACGAAGAGCTTCAGATAGCATAGAGGTCAGAACAGGCAGCTCTCTGTAGGAGTTGATGCCAGCAGTTGGCTTTCTGGGCCGGGAGAGGGGGGAAAGGCGAGCAGCAGCTGTGGTGAGGAAGCCTCGGCGGCAGTGGTGGTAGTGGGGGAGGGGTGGTGCCGAGAGACACGTTGTGAGGAGGGGTTCCGTTGTGAGTGGTACATCAGCAGAGAGGAAGAGGGGTGCAGAGCCTCTCGCTGATGAGAGGTGGCTTTCTGATAGCAGTGCTCGGGCAGTGACGCCCCAGTAAGGATCAGGTGCAGAGGGCCCATCGGTGCCTGGCTAGGTCCCCGTAAACACACCTGACCTTCGGAACTGCCGGTGCCTGCAGAGAATACACAAACCAACAGAAGTCCCCCGTCTCCTCGGAAGTGTTTGCCATTGGCTGTCCAGTGGTTTTCTAGCCTCTCTGTAAAGGGGCTGGCACTGCGCTGAGAACCTGGCTGGCGAGGAGCCGCAGCGGAGCAGAGAGGCCAGGGCCGTGTGGAGTCGAGGGGACTGACTGGTGTGCTGGTTTTGGTTGTAGCGGAGATGAATCACTTCCACAGTAACCGGATCTATGACTACAACAGCGTCATCCGCCTGTACCTGGAGCAGCAGGTACAGTTCTATGAAACGGTAAGTCACCCTCTCGCCCCACTGTCTGTGCAGAGGTCACTCACTCTGCATTAAGTTAATCTGCTTGTATTTTTTAATCCTAAGTATTAAACCCAAAGAGGCTAAATATTTCCTAGGGTTTAGTTTAATCTTTTAATTACCCCTGCCTTTCCGGTTTTAGTAACACTGGTTAATATAAAGGTTTTCTTTTGAAGAAGGGGGATCGGGTGCCAGCGGGGAGGCGCCGACTCCTTCCCTCCCTCACTGCCTCTCTGTGCGCAGGGAACACTGCTGAATGGATGAGGTCACCCTGCCGCCCAGTGGACTCAGCCGGGGAAGGAGCCTGGCACCGCTCGGGCACCACAGGCGGCCTCTGTTTGTGACTGAGGGCTCAGTGCACAGGGGACTGCCGAGAGGAAATTAAAAAGAGAGCGAGGCCGTAACTACTTCATTCAGAAACCAATGAGAGCGCAGCTTTGTACCTCTCTGACCCATTGTTTACCAGAGAGCCAGGCTCCAGCATGGAAACGAGAAGTCAGCCACCTGAAGACAAGCGCTGCCACTTTATAATTGTCCGTGTGCCAGCCGGCATGTTCTGTCTTCCACCGTTCCACGGTGTCATGTCAGGTTGTCCAGGGCTTTAGTAGGCAGACTCCAAGCTCAATCCATGCATGTGTGGTCTTTGGACTGGACACCGCCTAGAAGTATATTACTTACATATACACATACACATACACATACATATACATACATACACATACATATACATACATACAAACACATTAGAGTGTGCGGTGATTGTCCCTCATTCCAGCCTGCACCCCCTCGAGGGATGTCTGACTGCCCATTTAGTCCCAATCCCTCCTAAACGGGCAGTCAGACATCCCTTTCACAATCCAGGATTGCTGGTTCCCAACTGCTCACCTGCCTGCCTTCCTGATTGCCCCTAACCTCTTCTGCCTGCCAGCCTGATCACCCCCTAACCACTCCCATGCCGGCATGATTGATGTCTAACTGCTCCCATGCCAGCCCATTTGCCCCAACTTCCCTCCTCTGCCGGCCTGGTCACCTCTAATTGCCCTCCCCTGCTGGGTTGATCGCCTTCAACTGCCCTCCCTTGCAGGCCTGGTCCCTCCCAACTGCTCTCCCCTGCTGGCCATCTTGTGTCCACATAGAGACAGGATCTTTGACCACATGGGGGCAGCCATATTGTGTGTTGGAGTGATGGTCAATTTGCCTATTACCCTTTTATTAGATAGGATGGAGGCCTGGTGCATGGGTGGGGGCCAGCTGGTTTGCCCTGAAGGGTGTCCCGGATCAGGTTAGGGGTTTCCTTGGAGTGTGGAGTGGCCTGGGAGAGAGGCCTGTGGTGGTTTACAGGCCGCCACACCCCCCCTGGTGACTCAAGCGCAGGCCCTGTTATCTGGGTTTATTTATCTGATACAACTGAAACTTTGTAGCCTGGAGCAGAGCCAAGCCTACTGCTCGCTCAGTGGCGGCAGCCATTTCTGTTGGAGTTTATTTACCTTCTATAATTGAAGCTTTGTACCCTTGAGTGGAGGCCTGGGCCCACCAGGGTGTGTGGAAAGCTTGGCTTCCTCCATTGCTAGGGAAATCCAAGCCTCCCTCCTGCTCTCTGTGGCGGCAGCCATGTTGGTTGGGGTTAATTTGCATGCTCACTCTGATTGGCTGGTGAGTGTAGTGGAGTGATGGTTAATTTGCATATTACTCTTTTATTATGTAGGATACACAATATAAAAGAAACTTTGTTAAGTCTAACATAGTTATTAAAATGTGCATATTTGTTCACGAAGCAAACATTTCTTCAGTGTTATACACTAAGCACTTACTGCAAATGCTCAGGGTCCCAAGATGACTGAAACCTCTGTCTTCAGGAGTGTGTGTCCTTGGGGGAGACATAGGCATGCCATCCCTGAGGGACAGCAGTGACTTTTGAAGGTGGTAGCAGAGGGGTGCGAGCATGGGGAGAGCCCCTCGGCTAGGTCTTAGGAGCTCAGAGGTGGAGGGATCCTGGGGCCTCACTGGAGGGGAAGGGGATGGAGGTAGGGAGGCTCTCGGAGGAGCAGCACTTCCCTGGGAGCGTCTGGTCCGGGTCTGAGAAGGTCTCTCCCACAGCAGCATGGGAGAGCCTGGGTGCATAGACCCAAGAGGTTGGAATTGTTACAGTGTTAACTCAGAGGAGCTGGGAATAATGGTCACTGGGCAGCTGTGTGGCGGTGCTATCTCAGACCTCCTCTTTCCACCAGATTGCAGAAAAGCTGAGGCAGGCCCTCGGCCGCTTCCCAGTGATGTAGGCGGAGCGGAGCAGGAAGAAACTCCCAGTGCTTCTCCGACCTGGGGCATGCAGTCCAACCCCCCTCACCCAGACTCGGCACCGAGAGAAAGAATGCAAAACTACACCGACTTCCGACCTCAGGCGTCAGTCCTATGCCTTCTCTTCTCATTTCTACAGCCCTTGTTTAAACCGCTAGAGATTGTCTCTATTTTTGGAAAGTATTTAAAATTACCAGAACTTTGAATGGAAAATTAGAGGTTTCCCCACTTATATTTTACATAAATATGTAATTTTTATGCCCACAATCGTCCAGTTCTTACTCAAGGCCAGATGGTTACTAATTGCTTTCTTAAAAATAAGGAATATGCCAGAATAAAAAAAATATGTATATATTTTTATAATTCTTTTCAATGCCTTGGAACTCCTGTCTGTTTAGGAAGATCTACATGCCTTTCACTGACACATCCATGACCCAGTGCTTGCGCTTTCGGGAAAGGAGGCAGAGGGGCTGCGGGGCTGGCACTGTCCCTGCGGCGATGCCGCCCCCCAGCAGGAGGGTTCGAGGGCGTCGTCATGAGGAGGGCGTTCTCTCCTGCACGTCCTTCCTCAGCAGGCCCAGCTCTACGCGGGGAAGACACGTGGGGCCCATTGGGGACGTTCCCCAGGGCTCTGACTGCTGACCCCTGCGCTGACCCCTACGCTCCTCCCCTTCGCCATCCTCGGGCTTCTTGCTGCCCAGTCAGACGTGATGAGAAGTGAGAGAGGACTGGCCACTTGGTTTGGGTGCAGACGGCGGGCCAGTTGGCATTATCGGACAGATGAAAACAGTTACCTGGCCGCCCCTTCCCCAAGTGGAAAAGCTTAGCGGCTGCGAGGGTGGCAGCCTGGACACTTCAGTGCCCGGCATAAGCCAAGCAGAGCCACAGACATCCCTGCGGGTCTGAGCGCGCACACTACCTTCCTGCGGACGTGTCCCGTCTGCCCTCTTGCCTTACTCTCTCCGTGATCTCTGCACGGCTCTCACTCTGTCCTGACCGCGCTGTTACAGAAAATGGACTGTCAGGCCGCATGAATGAAATGAAACCAAAAAATAAGAGGAAATCAGATGGACATGAATGAGAACTTCTTGTTCTTTAGTGTCACGGGTTTTGTTAATGTTTTATAAGTAATTTCCCTTGATTTTTCTTTTATAAAATCTCATAGAACAGTGTTTATGATATAGCCATTTAATATATGTACAAATTGTAAAGAATATGTATAAATGTTTTACACATATGTAGAGCATGTAGAAACAAACATATAAATAAATTGTTTAAAAAAAACCTGTACAGTAAATTCTCAAACCATTTTTCAAAACACTTTCTGGTGTTATTGTGTGATTTTTTAAAATGGCTTCATGTGGCCATCTGCTGAGAACATGGTGCCCCAGGGTAGGCGGGAAGGAAGGAGTGTGGCCGGGGCATTTGAGCCACTTCTTCACGGAACCTGGGCAGCCTTCACGGCCCGCTGGGCAATCACAGGTACCCCACGTCCATCCGCCAACCCCCCCGCTGCTCCGGGCACCTTTCTCCTGGAGGTGAGCTGAAGAGCCGATGTGACCCAGGCAAATCCAACATCCTCTTCTTACTACTTACCCTCGCGGATCTCAAACTGACCAGCAGCAGAGACGGACTTCTCGGCAGCCATCGAGTGAGGTGAGGCTGGACATGGTCGCCTGGCAGGGCAGAGCTCCAGGCTAGCCAGCTCCTGGGGGGAGACAGCTGGGTGTGCATGGTCAGCGGCTCCCTCGGGCTGCAGACCAGAGGAAGGGCCTGCACCGTGCTAACATGCCTGTCCCCAAGGCCCTGCCCCGGAATGTGATGGGATGTCTGCTCCTTGGCCAGTAGCTGCCCAGCCTCGGGCCTGTTGGTTTCTGGGGGTTCAGTCCCTGTGCTTACATGGTTTCCTCTGATGAGTGCATGGAACCATGTTCAGCCAGTGTTCCTAGAGGACACCCGGCAGATCTGAACTGACTGTGTCCATGTGTCTCTCTCACATCTGATCTCTCCTTCCTTCTCTCCTGTGCACTCCGCGGCAAATCCTTCCCGCTGTGCTCACCCTGAACGCTTATCTCTGTCTGCTGGAGGACTAAGAACAGTGCCTGACAGCTATTAGGTACTGGAATCCTTACTAAACGCAACAATGAAAATAAAGAGAAGGGGGACCATTTCCCACCCTACCCCAACGGTTGATGAGGGCAGCACCTGTTAATCTGTTTTCCCATATAGAACTTTTCCTTTGGCAGTCACTCTAAGTTGACCCCACAATTGCATAGTGAGTACAGGGTTCCTGCCCACAGGTCTGCATAGCTAGTCTCTCCTGTTGGTCACAGCTTCCATAACCCGGGGCTGTCAAAGCTCACAAGTGAACGCCGGTTCAGTGCTTGGACTGGACTACAGACTTGTGTTTCTCTTGTCTTTCACTAATAGCCCTTTTCTTTCCATCAGAGGACCTAACCCGGTACCCCACACTGCGATAGCCCTCTGTGCAGTGTCTCTCAGTGGCCCTGGTTTGGAATGAACTTGACGAGCTGGGAGGGTGCTGTGTGGAGGGGTCACAGCATCTGCACAGGTTCAAGACTGGGACTAAGGAGAGGACCCAGTCCTCTCATGGCCACGTGCAAGTCCCAGCTTGGAGGGCAGAGCCTCCCGGCACAGTGATAGCCAACGGCGAGAGTTGTCGGCTTGAACCCACTTTTATATGGAAAAACTTGAACCAGGTCTGAACAAGTGGCCCCACGTGCCTGAGTGATATAGGCTGCAAGTAAGCAAAGTTTGATCTGGTGCATGTAGTTGTGTAGGATAGAAACCCTTGAGGAAGGCGGGGCTGGGGGTGGCAAAGTGCTTTAGGACGACCCAATGGCCCCCTGTCCTTGAGGGCAGATTGGGCATGAGCAGTGAGGAGGAGACGGAGACCAGTCAAAGGAGCTCGACCTGAGGTAGGGCTTGTTCAGAGACAGATGTATTTCTGTAATTTCTCTGTGGGCTCTGGTAACCGAGGAGGAGGTTTGGAGGTGTCACTCCTCGCCTTAGAATTTACTTTTCTTTCATTGATGTGTTTAGCAAGGATTCTGGTACCTAATACCCGACAGGCACTGTTCCTAGTACTCCACCTTCCAGTTGGTGACCTAATGCTGCATAACAAGCTCCCCCGAATGGAGCGGCTCACTGCAGCAACACTGTGAGCTCCTGTTTCCGTGGAGTGGCAATGTGGACGTGGTTTGGCAGTAAGGGTAGTGCCTGCGTGGGTGGGGCGGTCACTTGAAGAGTCAGGAGGTGTGGGACCTAATTCCAACCTCAACCTATGTTTGTCGATAGGTGGGACCCACCTCCAACCTCAAGTAATGGCTGTTGAGGGGCGGGACCCACTTCCAACCTCACCCAATGGTGGTTGTGGGTGTGGGACCAACTTCCAACCTCAGCCAATGGTTATTGAGGGGGCAGTACCAATTTCCACCCTCACCCAAAAGTTGATGAGAGGCGGGACCCACTTCCAACCTCACCCAATGATGGCTTAGGGGCGTGACCCACTTCCAACACCAACCAATAGTTATTGAGGAACGTGAATCATTTCCAACCTCACCCAGTGATAGGTGAGGGGTGGGACCCACTTCCAACCTCACCCAATGATTGTTGAGGGGTCGGTCCCACTTCTAATCTCACCCAATGGTTGCTGAGGGGTGGGACCCACTTCCAACCTCACCCAATGGTTGTTGAGGAGGCGGGACCCACTTCCAAACTCAACCAATGGCCTTTGAGGGTGGGACCAACTTCCGACCACCTCCAATGGTTATTGAGGGGGTGGGAACCACTTCCAAACTCAACCAATGGGCTTTGAGGGTGGGACCAATGTACAACCTCAGCCAATGGTTGTTGAGGGGGCAGGACTGACTTCCACCCTCCCCCAATGGTTGATGAGAGAAGGGACCCACTTCCAACCTCACCCAATGATGGCTTAGGGGAGTGACCCACTTCCAACACCAGCCAATGGTTGTTGAGGAATGTGACCCACTTCCAACCTCACCCAATGGTATTATAGGGGCAGGACCCACTTCCAACCTCAGCCAATGGTTGTTGAGGGGCCGGTCCCCCTTCTTATCTCACCCAACATTTGCTGAGGCCTGGGTGGAACTTTCAACTTTACCCCACTTCTAATCTCACCCAATGATAGTTGAGGGGCATGACCCACATACAACATCACCCAATATTTGTTGATTGTTTGGACCAACTTTGTACCTCAACCAATGTTTTTTGAGGGGCAGGACTGACTTCCACTTTACCTTAACGTTTGATGAGTGGTGGGATTCACTTCCAACCTCACCCCATTATGGTTTAGTGGTCTGACCCACTTCCAATACACCCAATTGTACATGATGCATGGGACCCACAGCACAGTAATAGCCAACAGCTAGAGTTGTAAGCTTGAACCTATCGTCTGAACACATGGCCCCACGTGCCTGAGTGATACGGGCTGCAAGTAAACAAAGTTTGATCAGGTGCATGTAATGGAGTAGGATTGAAACCCTTGAGAATGCTGTAGACATCTTGACCAAGTCCTTACTTTACTTCGTGGCATCTGGTATAATATAAAGACTCGGCTTGTGTGCTTTGTTGCTGTCTCTCAGGAATCAGCATCCCACCCAGATCCAGCTCTCATTCTCTTGTGTGTCTTTTACAAGCCTTTCAGTTGCCCCCTCTCAGGGTCACCCTTGGCCGTGTCTGGGGGCACAGTACTGGTCCTGTGTTTTGAAGGGTGCCTTTTGAAGGGTGATTCTCCGATGTTTAATTTTTAAGCATGTTCTCGTGGTCACTGAGCAGACATTACCACTTTTACCATCATTTGCTTCCCATTGCCCCTGGGCCCACTGATGGACCATGCTGCCCCATGTCAGTAAAAACAGGCATCATCATGCGACCTGCTTTCACTGAAGTAAAGTAATTGGGAGCAAAGCATGCACTTCTACGGTGACATCAGAGTAAG